AATGGTGTCGCCGAGTGGAAAAATCGAAAAGTTGTGGAAATGGCAAGGAGCATGTTACAAGCAAAGGGACTTTTCAATCATTTTTGGGCTGAAGCAGTAGTGACGTTAGTTTATTTGTTGAATTTGTCTCCCACAAGAATTGTCATGAATCAAACTCCATTTGAAGCTTAACATGGTAGAAAACTGTCTGTAAGTCACTTAAGGATTTTTGAGTGTACTGCTTATGCTTGGTAAATTCTCAATTTCTTTATAAACTTGACGAGAAATTTAAAAAATGTATTTTTTATTGGTTATTGTACTAACTCCAAAGCATATAGATTGTATAATCCTCATAATGGCCATATTTTAATTAGAAGGGATGTAGTATTTGATAAAAAAAACAAGCTGGAATTGACATGGAAGTGATGAGAAGACACAATAAATTCCTCTTGGAATTTTTTTAAATCAAAGTCCAGAACCAAATCCTACAAATTCAGCAGCTGGTTCCTCTGTAGCGTCACAAATTTATTAAACTCAACATCACCAAGTCGAAGTTCTTCATCAGATGAGACACCACCCAGAAAATTTAGATCATTGAGAGAAATGTATTAATCCTGCTAATTTGCGCATGCTGTTTTAGATCCTATAACCTATGAAGAAGCAGGTAATAAAGAAGAATGCAAAATGCAATGATGAAAGAATTGACAGCAATTGAAAAAAATGCAACGAGGGAAATGGTGGACTTACTGAAAAGGGAAAATGCTTTCGGTTTGAAGTGGGTGTTCAAAACAAATTTTTTTGCTGATGGAAGTATAGAAAAACATAAAGCTCGGCTTATAGCGAAAGGTTATGCACAACAATATGATATTGATTTGGAAGAATGTTTTTTTATCCAGTGGCTCGTTTTAAAACAGTGAGAATTATTTTAGCATTAGCTACACAATTAAAATGACATATTTATCAATTTGATGTTAAATCAGCATTTTTGAATAGTGATTTATAAGAAGAGGTTTATGTAACCCAACCAGAAGGTTTTATAATTGAAAGCAAAGAGAAGAAAGTGTACAAGATGAGGAAGGCATTATATGATTTGAAGCAAGTGTTGCATACATGGTATAATAAAATTGATGAATATTTTCAACCAAATGGGTTTTTGAGGAGCGAGAATGAACCTACTCTCTATTTGAAAAATGAAGGTAAAAATAATTTTATCATTATATCTTTATGTTGTTGACATTATTTATACAAGCTCTCCTTGTTCTCTTGTGACTGAATTTAAATCACACATGATGCATGAGTTTGAAATGTCGGATATAGAACTACTACGTTATTTTCTTGGTCTTGAAGTTCAACAAGCTGAAGATAGAATTTTTATTTCTCAAAGAAAATATATTAAGGATATTCTTAAGAAATTTGGTTTGATTAATTGCAAATATGCAGGTACACCCATGAATATCAATGAAAAACTGCAGCATGAAGATGGGGGAGAAATGGTTGATGCTAGAAGGTTTATAAGCTTGGTTGGAGGATTAATTTATCTACTCACTCGACCCGATATTGCATTTTCTATTGTGTAATTTCCAAGTTTATGCAAAGTTCGTCAAAGTTTCACTTTAGAGTAGCAAAGCAGGTCTTGTGTTATTTTGCTGGGACTGTGGATTATGGCATTTGATATTCAAAAGTTTCTAATTTCAGTTTATGTGGGTTCACGGATAGTGATCAGGCTAGTTCATTGGATGATAGACGGAGTATTTCGGAAAATATTTGTTACTCTTGGATCAGGAGTGATCACTTGGAGCTCAAAAAAGCAAGCCACAACCGAACTATCTTCCTCAGAAACTGAGTATATAGCAACTACTTCAGCAGCTTGTCAAGCCATTTGGTTGAGGAGAATGCTAGCAGAATTATAGCAAAAGCAAGAAGGAGCAACAGAGATATTTTGTGATAACAAAACAACAATTTCCATGACAAAGAATCCAACTTTTCACATCAGAACAAAACATATTGATATTCGGTTCCATTTTATTCGTGCTTTGGTTGCTAAGGAGGAGATTATTTTGAAATATTGCAACACAAACAAGCAATTGGTTGATATACCCACTAAGGCATTATCCAAAGAGAAGTTCATCTATTTCAGACATCTTCTTGGTGTGTGCAATTTTGAATCAAGGGGGAGTGTTGAAGATTGATTCAAGAATCAATCAAAATATGCTACAGATATTTTGCAGATGTTATGCTAAATAATTTTTGCTGATATTTTCCTAATCTTGTGCAGATTAGTTTTTATTATTTTTCTGCTTCTGTTAATTTGTTGTTAGTGGCAGAATTTTAGAGATTATGGTGAGGATTTTTAGTATTTTCAGTTTGGTTGTGAGCCTACATAAATGCATGTTTAGTTCTGGAATAACAAAGCAGATAGAAACGAGTATTTCTGCAATTTTTGTGTTCTTTATCTGCAGAAAGTTTCTTCCTTCAAACTCTGTTTCTCAAAACTTTTCCAACAGAAGGGTCTCTGCGATCTCCTCTCCTGCTTCTCCTTCTACGTGGTACATTGTCGAAAAATGCAAGGCACTCTCTCGCTGCTTCATTTTTCAGTCTCCGTGCGACAACAATGATGAGCCACAGACACACCTCGTCCATTACTGCTTCTCGATTATCCGTGCCCATTATCTACGTAACTTCTTCAATAAATTGGTCCAAAGAACCATTGTCTAGTTGCCTCACGATCTTCTCGAGTGAGGGGAGGACTCTACCGCATTCTTCTTTCTCTTCAAGAAGAGAGCTTTTTTTCTTCATTCAACGATATATGATCAGAAGGTTTACTTCTGTTCATAATATATAGGATCCATTTCTTAAAATCTTAAACTTATAACGGTGAGGCAAACAGAAACAATAATTTTTGAAATTTTGTTTTCTTTACCTTCTAGCTTTTATGTCCGTGGCAGCAAAGTTGTTTTGATTAATGAGGAAAACGGCATGGCTTCATGCCTTTGTTTTTCAGAGAAGCTGACTTGAGGTAAGAACATCATCTGCGGGCTTTCTCTACCCTTTGCACCAAAAACCCATCCCATTGCCAACT